GCTAGATACGTAAAAATGTAAAATCAAGTTATTTAATTAAATATGTTTTCGTAAGATTTAACATTTGTATATAATAATTATTCAAACCTTCCATAAATAAAAATCTCACATTTAGAAATGTTTAGAAGTTTTTTTTTTAAAAAAAAGAGAGAAATGTTAAGAAGAATTTCGAAAACTATCAACATTTCAAAACCAATGACTTTCCCAAAATAGATTAATAGAAATGGAATATCAATGTTTTTCGTAAACCATGTTTTCACCTAAGTGTGCACACCTTCCAAGCTAGTAGGGACTCCTTACATAGTGCTATCAAGGGGAAATACTAGGTCATACATAACTCATAGTCTTCAATTTTATATCCGAATTGTGGGAGTCATAAAAATCCAATATATATCTTTGATAAATCAACCTTCCAATTCCCATCTATGGGATTTCAATATCATTTGTTCGTTAAAATGAATTTGAATTCAAGTATGTGTATAAACAACTTTTTAGAACATTGAAATTATTTCCAAAGATCAAACTATAAAACATTTCACAATATTTATTTCATAAACATTCATAAATCCTTGTTCAATACTCAAACATAGTTCATCATTCAAAATACAAAACACATTTGTATAAAATCACATATTTAAAGATCTAACCATGAGTATGTACCTTGATTTTTACAACTATTCCACCTAGATTTACAACCACGAATTATCTCTTAAATAAACATTATATGGAGTATTTTAAATAAGCATCAAACATGAAACTTGATAAAAATCATAAATTGAAAATAAAAAATTAGTTTTCGGAAGACTTACTCCAAAACAATATAAAGTAGCAAAGCTCACAGGAAGGTTCACGTTAGAAAGAAGAAGACATATCTTGCAGAGGTCATATCTCATAGTATATAACTCCGAATCGGGTGATTCTTGAGTCTAACCTCAAGGAATTTTCAAGAGCAACACCTTTGTCTCAATAACAAAAGGCTAAAAATGGTTAAAAGTGGTTGGAAAATGGCTTGGAACATATACGGGATGAACTAATAAGAAAATGAAAGACATAAGAAGAAAGAAAGAAGAAAAGAAGGATGGAGCTTTGAGAGCAAGATGAGAGTTTGGCATAAAATGGCTGAACTTTGGTATCTATTTGTAGAGTTTGACAACTCTATTGACATCATGTATGCTGTCAACAACTTGGGGGTCAAGTATTCAACCTTGTAGAGGAAGTTTATGACTTTAGTCATGTTATTGATGTCAACAATTTAGAGGTCAAGTATGATGTCAAAACTTGGTGACCAAGTTCATGCTTATAGAAGAAGTATTGACTTTGGTCTTTTATGTTGACTTGGAGACTAATGAAATAGACTTTGGTCATGCTTACAGAAGAAGTATTGACTTTGGTCTTTCTGTTGACTTGGAGAAGGATGCACACAAAGTAGAAAAATCTTATTTTTGGCTATTGAATTCCTGGCTTGCATATCAAAATATTTTATAAAACATAATTTTAACTTAATGATTTTCATAAAAAAACTAAATAAAATTCTTTTGAGTCACTTTAGAGCATAGTAATATGTATTATTATTATTTTCCCAATAAATATGAGGTATTCAAGTCAAAACATAATTATAATTCATAAAACGGTTTTAAAAATACGGGGCATTACAGTAAGATTCTACAATATTGATAAAAAAAAAGGTAATAATAAGGTTGCTACATAATTAGATAACATTTTTTAAGCCATAAAATTGGTAAAATTTATAATTTTAGTAGTTAGATAGTAATTTTCTTAGCTTAGAGAAAAGTTTGATTGCTTTAGGCTCATTTTAATAATAAGTAAAAAGTAAGATTGTATGATCCTACTTGATTCCGACCGATCTTGCGCAATTCTTTTCAATCCTGACTGATCCTGTACAATCCAATAATAATTTAAGTGAAAAACAGGATAGTCCGATCCCACCCGATCCTGTGCGATCCTGACCGATCCTACAACGATCCTGCTTACTCTGCGATTCTACATCCGATCCGAATTGTTTGGCTAAAATGGGATCGTAGGATCACACGATTTGCATTGCGATTTTGACAATGGTTCCATAGAGTGCGGTTTCGACAGCGCACTGAATTGTAATTTGTGTGGTTTGCAGTTTGAAAGTTGCGGTACGGTTTTTGAAAATGAATCGCGATTTGTGGTTTGGTGCAGTTCCAAAACCAGACTTTGATGCGATTTGCAGTTTTTATATTATATTTTTATTAAAAAAAATATAAAAGAACTATAATATATGAGCTTATCTTTGACTAATAGCTAATTAAAGGTAAAAGAACAAAAATATATGAGCTAATCTTTGACTAATATATTTTAATTATAAATTAATAATATCGAAATAAATTAAAAGTTTTGTTTTTAAGAAAATAATTATAATTTTTAAAAGGTATGATTAAACCGCAAGCTGCACCGCACCAAAGCGTATTTTACGATGCGATTTGGTTAGAAGTGTAGTTTCACACTAGTGGTGTCAAAAACTTACCTGACCCAAAAGGTTTACCTGAAACCGAACTGTTTTTGAACTGGTTGAACCCAAAAGGTTTTCCTCCAAATTCGATCCGGAATCAATCCAAAGTTAACTTGAAATCTATTTTACCCGGAACTTTACGATCCAAACCCAACTTGGTATCGACTCATTATTTATCTGAAACCAATAAAACCCGACAGTTCAAGACCTGGATTCGGATTAACCCAAAACGAAATCTACCCAAAACCATTATACCCAAAAAATACCTCATTTTACCCGACCTTTTTTTTACCCGATTCAAAACTACCCGCAACCTTACTAACCTGACCCAAAACTTATGAGTTAATTAGTTAACGATTTCTTTTATTATAGTGGAGACCATGGGGTTTTGAATATAAAGTGTAGTTAATGGGGGTTATGTTTAATTGTTAGTATAAGAGATAAATTCTACTAACAATTAAAAATGGGGTTGATAGGATTGAAAGATAATAAAATACTTGTATAGAAAATAGCTCTACAATGAGTTTAAAACTATAGTGAGCCCGTGCAAAATGCACGGGATATATAAGAAAAATTATATTTAAAATATGGAAAGTTGATTTTGATGTTGTAATTTAGACTTGAGCTGTAATGGTCGGTTTTGTTGAACCCTAATTAGCTCTGTTGTACTGAGTATTAATAAACGTATTAATAATGTGCTGAGACCTGCTGTACTGTGCTATGCTATGCTGAAATATGATATTCTATGCTTTGGTTTGAAGGTCAAAAAACAGAATCTTACTCTTTTATGTCGGTGGCCACACAATGCTATTATGGGGTTTACTTTTTCAAAGTTATAGAGGTTACCCATTCAATGTTATAGGGGTTACTCGTGTTACTCGGTTAGTGTCATATGGGTTAGTGTCTTGTTTTAGGAGTTACATACTTTGTTCTGCTGCAAGTAGTTATTCGCTAAGGCCAGTTGCACAAAAACGTGTTGTACATTTATGATTAAAGAAGTGGAAAATGTTTGGAGGGTAGTCCCTAAAAAAATTGCATATAAGGTTGGAGATTTAGAGTACTATAGTGAATTGTTGATAAAGGAACTGTATACTCGTGCTAATGCATGACATATATTATACTATGTACAAAAAAAAATACTCGTAAAACAAAGTGAAATGATAGTACGTGGTGTTTTAAAAAAAGGAAAATTTGCAAATTGCAGCCATTTAAAGTTCATATTTTGCAAATTGCAATCATTTAATTTTTTTTTTTGCAAATTGCAGCCCAATAGTTCGTATAAATTGTAAATTGTAGCCCAATTCAACTTTTACATCGATTTACATGTCGAAAAATCTTCGGCTAAGGTTTTAGGGGCCATTTTAGCCCTTAAGAGTCCAAATTGAGCTCGAAATTAAAAAAAATAACATAAGTGCCTCGTTTTGCGTAACAAAAATATATCGATTTGTGGGAAACTATAAACATGAGACACTTAAATTATTTTTTTGCTAATTCCGAACTCAATTCGGTCCCCTAAGCACTAAAATGACCTCTAAAACCTTAAACAAAGATTTTTTTTGACATGTTAACCGATGAAAAAGTTGAATTGGGCTGCAATTTACAATTTTTTACAAACTTTTGGGCTGCAATTTGCAAAAAAAAAAAAAATTTAAGTGACTGTAATTTGCAAAATACGAACTTTAAATGGCTGCAATTTGCAAATTTTTCTAAAAAAAGTGAAATGTTGGGGGTTTTGAGTGCTATAGTGAATTGTTGATAAAAGTATACTCGTGCTTATGCATGTCATATGTTATACAACGTACCAAAAAAAAATCAAAAAGTGAAATGTTAGTAGTAGTCCCTTGAAAAAAAAAAACCAAAAAGAAATAGTGAGTGGGTAGTTATTGATTTAAAAAAAAAAAATAATAAGAATAAAATAGTGGGATTGGTAGTTATTTTTTTGTTTGTTTAAAAAAAAAACAACTTAAATGCATAAGAGTTGAGCATTTGGATTTTGGAGCACTCTCATCAAAACGACTCTGTAATTATATTATAGATTACATGATTGATTTGAACTGATATATAACCGAATTCGAAATGAGCTGATTCAAAGTTTATTAAATCCATTTTAAACCAAATAAACCCAATTAAATATGAATTCAAGCTTAATTGAACTCGATATGACTCGATCCGAATTCGACTTGACCCAAATTCGATTTCTACCTGATCATATCTTGACCCACCTTTGACTCTAATATAATTAAGCTTGATCCGACTTGATTTGGTTTTTTAGGATAAATTGACCCGTCATTACCTAATCCAAACACCCCGACCCATTATGGGCTAATCAAACTTCATCTGGGTACCTAATTTGACACCTCTATTTCACACCAAACTGCACTGCCACCACCCCTAAGTATCACCCCAAATACAATCATTACGACATTACCTATGTGCCATCCCCAATCTCCTACACTTGATAGGCCCAATTATAAAAGCCATACTTTCATTCGAACCAAAAACCCAACTCAACTAAACCAAAGAAAGCCATTTTAGCATTTTGCACATCGTTTTACTTTCACTAAATCAAGCCTAAACCCTGAAAAACTGGAGTACTCTGAAAAACTGTAACTCTAGCAGAAGAGAGACCGAATCAGCTGAAGAAGCCATGAAAAGAGCTCTTCTCAGAAATGCTTCAGTCTACACTCGAAACTTTCTATCTTCTCCTTCAATTTCTTCCAAACAAATCCCATCAATTCAAAATGTAATCTTACCCCCAATTTCTCATTCTTTTTCTCGCAGATTTTTCTCTTCTGATGGTGATTCTTCTGACCAAAACCCTAAACCTTCTCCTCCTGAAATCAGCTTGGTTCAACCCCAGGTTCAGGATCCCACCACTGATGTCGAAGATGTCAGTAATGAAGGTTTTTTATTCACCCCTTTTGTCTTGATTTTATTGGGGTTTTACTGTTTTTGGGTATTTGATGTATTATAGATTAGTTGTATAGTTGTTTTAATTTATTGGTATTTATTTTTTGGATCTTAGATAGTTCAAATTCTTGTTAATGGTGAAAATGTGAGATTTTGATTTTCATTGAGTTGAATATCTGGTTTCAATTTGTTATGTAATCTTTAGTTAAATGTAATTGAAGTTACTGGCATCGAACAATCCTTAATTTTTGTTAAAAAAAAAAATAAAAAACCTTAATCAAGGTACCTTTTGATTTAATGTAAATGGATGGTAATTTTAAGATGTTTTGAGTTGTTTCCCTTGTGTATTTTAGACGATGATTCTGATAATGAATAATTGTTTGAATTTAGAGCTGAAAATGAGGATAGAAAAGTACATGAATGGTGATGAAGAAGCGCTTTCATCGGTCTTTGAAGCCATATTGGCGAGGAGGTTAATAGGGAAGCATGAAGAAACTGACGACGAAATAACAGAGGATCTCCGATTCAGTCCAATAGATGATGTAGTTGACGAAGAAGTTGAGTCGGATTTTGAGGACGGTCATAAAACAGATGATGATATTCCTGACTTGTACAATGCCAAGGATATAGTTGTCAAAAGGATGATGGAGGATGAATATTTTAACATGGATGACAAAAAGTGGAATGCCATCATCAAGGAAGCAACTGAAAAAGGATTTGCTAAGGACATGAGGGAGTGTGAGGAGATTTTGGAGGATATGCGCGATTGGGACAAGCTCCTCCCAGGTATATATCCATAATCTTTCATTTATTGCTAGTTTCTTATCAGCAATGATGTCTTACAATTTCTTAATCTATTTATTTGTTTTCTTATCACTAATTTACTACTTATATATCCTTGCTGTTAACAGTCGAATTTAAGTGATAGAATATGATTTATTTTCAATGCTAAGTCTCCATTTATTAAACAATGAATGTAAACGGATTATTTCAGACGACATGAAGCAGAAAGTCCAAGCAAAGTTCGATGAGTTGGGAGATAAGTGTGAAAGACAGGAGCTTGAACCAGAGGAAGCATATCAGCACTTCAAGGAGTTTGAAGATCAGATTGTAGCTGAGTATATAGAGAAGGTGGAGGCAGAGGGAGCTCCACAATCCGATGAGGGGACTGAGCAGGTTGACAAAAAGAAGTCTGATGATCTACCAGGTGTGGGTCCAGTCCTTAGATGGCATACACGAGTGGTATTTGCACCAGGTGGTGACGCTTGGCATCCTAAAAACAGAAAGGTAAAATTATCAGTGACAGTGAAGGAGCTTGGACTTTCAAAATATCAGTTCCGTCGTTTGAGGGAAATAGTAGGGAAACGATACCATCCTGGAAAAGACGAGCTAACAATCATAAGTGAGAGGTAAGCTTGAGATAAATCTCTGTAGTTTTTATAATTCTATTCTTCTGCAATTAAAATTGCCAAAGGCTTTAAGTGCATTTTGTGTTCTGAAATTATTAAAGTATTTCGAATTTGGTCTGTTATATCTTTAGCCTTAAATGAAATTATGTTGGGCAGAAAAGTGTGAAGTGAAATAGCAAGGAGACAACATTGATTACTAACAAGTACCTGTATACTACTTTCTATGAAATTGAAGATTCAACAATAAATAGTTAATCTATGTATGCTTTCTGTATATTGACATTGTCTTAGGAGTCTGACTGGTGGAAAGAATGTAGAATTAAACAGTCACTACATAATGTGGTTAGCATCACCTTGACTTAACTTGAATGGAAAATTAGTTGTGTGTAAAGCCTTTCACCTATTGGTGAATTTGATTGGATTGATGCCAGATGCCCTAGATATGATCATATGAAGCAGTGTGGACTTGTAGAGGTTGAGAGCCCAGCTAACTCGTCTTTGTTTGGTAAAAATTTTTTACTCTTTTTTTTTTTTTTTTTTTTTTTTGGATGATTGGTAATTTAGTATTAGTGTATCCGTATTTAGGTAGAAGGCTTTTGTTCTTTTGGAAGGGTTTATAGTAATCTTAAATTTAACCCATCTTGATTAATTACAAGCCCTTTGACCTAATATTTGGCCCTCCTGTGAATTATTGGGAATATGTGTACTGGAACACCGAGCAGTAGCACTGCTGGGCTAATTAATATGATTAGTAGCGTAGTGTAATCTTGTACTCTAAACACATACAAAAACATCCCAGGAAGTATATTTTGTTTTAGGGAAACATTTTGATGTACTTGTATACTTCTAAGTGTTATTTACATGAATATGCTTGGATTGAGAGTGATGTATTACTAAGTTTTTTAAAGTCAAATTAAAGAAACTAAAAGTGAATGCAAGGAAAGATGAGATAGTGATGTGTAATTGTAAGAAGGATTATTAAATTGAGTAGTTTTGGTGTGGTGAGAGATTGAGAGTTGGAGAAAAAGGAACTATTACCCTCATTTTGTGGTAGTAATTATCCTGATGGAAGGGTGGGTAACTATTACCCTCATTATGAAGGTAACAATTCCTCCATTTCTCTACTTTCTTCATGTCACAACTGCCTTATTTCATTAGTAAACCCTTTATCCTATAATGTCACCTCTAATCACTTATGCTTCTCGTAGTTTGACTTTTATTACTCCCTTTATTTATTACTCCCAATCCTTTACGGCCTAAGTGTTATCACATCAAAGAATGAAAAGAAACAAAACTTAAAAACAATACATGAGACTATTTGAGAAGCACTCAAAAAACCTGGGACGAAACTCACAATTAGTTTAAGAATATGGGTGAAACTTGGGTTTTATGTATAATTCCAATTTTAATTTCCTTTTCCTTTATTTTGGAGCATTGTGGTGATTAAATCTGTTGATGATTGTTTTGCTGGTTCACTGCTTGCTGATATGTCTTTTGTGCTAGGCTTGCCTAGTTTTTGCCTTCTGTCAATTGCTCAACATTTGGTTGCTATTGTACTATCTAATAACAGAAGTGAACGACATGGTTTCAATCATATTTTTGTGATCTGTTTCTGTGGGTTACAAGTCACATTATATCCGATTTCTTCATGTTGCTCTCAAAATAGTTAGCTGCCCTTTGAATTGGATCTTCCTTGCCTGTCTGGGAACATATCTCATTAGAAGACTATTTTGCTTTCAGGTTTGAACATCGTGAAGAGAATAGGAAGGATTGCCTGAGAACGTTGCTTAATATTATTGAAGATGCTGGTAAAGCTAATGCATTGGTAGAGGAGGCTCGAACGTCATATGTCAAACAAAGACTGAAAGCCAACCCAGCATTTATGGAAAGGCTTCATGCTAAGACAAAGAAGGCCACAGCTGCTATTCCTGCATGAGTTTCTTTTCTGTAGAACACAGTTTTGCAAAGTTTTTCATAGCCCTTTTGGTTGAGGCAGTGCACTTGACACATCAAATTGTTTTGGTAGCTTGAGGCATTGAAGTGTGAACCTGAGTTTTTTGGTGTAGATTGCTTTTTAATAGAGGCATATGTATGTCCGATATGCTAGTAGATGTGCAGGCTTAGTTCAGGCTCATCCTAGAAACAATGGGATCTTTAATTTTGGTCCGTTGCCATCTAAATAACCGTGATAATATGATTTTAGGCTTGTATTATCCTTATAAAGGACTAAGCTAATACAAACTTGAGGCTATACTTTACTTGACACATCCATTGTGGGAATTGAATCTAGTGGAATATGATATTCCAGATGAATTCTGTTGAAACCCATTGTAACCCACTTATGGGTGTCCCACATTGGAGAAAGAGGAGAGATAATTTCACTTTATAAGGTAGAGGAGTACCTCCTACTATTGCCAATTGGTTTTAGTATGGAAGCTCCAAAGCCTTGTTTGTGGACCAAACTCTCCTCCTTATTCGGGTTGCCTAGGCCCATTTCATATTGTTTCCAAATTTAACATGGTATCAGAGCCCAGGTTGTGAGTCTCTTCTAAACTGGGTATTTAATCGCTACTGGATAAAGATTTACCTCGACAGGATGTCCAGTCCCTAAGAGGATTATTGATCTGGCCTTATCCAGTTAGCTCTGAAGTTCTGAGGACATTCATAAGTGAGGGGGAGTGTTGAAACCCATTGTAACCCACTTATGAGTGTCTCACATTGGAGAAAGAGGAGAGATGATTTCACTTTATAAGATAGAAGAGTACCTCCTACTATTGCCAATTGGTTTTAGTATGGAAGCTCCAAAGCCTTGTTTGTGGACCAAACTCTCCTCCTCCTTATTCGGATTGCCCAGACCCATTTCATATTGTTTCCAAATTTAACAAATTCGTTTATTTGTTTTCTTATTGATCTTTCCATTGACATTCTTGTTCATCTGAAGAAAAAAGTATTGTGTCATATCTATTTTGTTTCCAGAGTATTATCCATACGACTCTTCAATTGTTGTTTGCAGTTGTAGACATTTTTCAAGCACATTGATGTGATTCATGATCATCTAAGTTTTTATTTGGTATTTTTGGCTGCGAGATTTTACTTTTCACAATTTTTTTTTCTTGTTTTAGCCTTGTTGGTTAAATTCTTGTTACTAATTAAAATCTATTATAATGTCTAAGGATATGATTTAGGAATGTTATGGGTAGAATAGATGAGATACTCTCTTTGTTTTTATAATTGCAACACTTTACCAATTCGTAATATTATGTTGAGTTGAACAAATTAAACAAAAGTATGAGCATAGTAGGAGGGGTGAACGATCAATCATGTGAGGAGGGAAATAATAATATTAGGTTAGGCTCTGTAGTATGTATTCTTTTTTTCTTTTTTTATTCAAGTGGAGTATTTGATAAAGTTCAATGGAATATAATATGCAAGAGATGATTGGTCAAATAGATATTTTAAAGGCAAAATTGGCGTCAACACTCTAAAGTTTGGCGAAGGTGCATTGAGCACCCTCAACTTTACAAAGTTGCTAAAACACCACAAAGTACGGATGCAGGTGTAGTGTGTGCCTTTAATGAAATTTTCGGACCAAAAAAGTTGCCTGAGAACGGAATCTTTTATTTTAATTTATTATTTGCTCACTCTTAATTTTTTTTTTCTCCCTTTAATCCTAAAACTAAACCTCATGTGACACCCTCTCTCTTTCTTTCTTTTCACCTTCCATTTTTATTCCTCTCTTATCATTAATTTCTCACCAACCCAAATTGAAAACCTCCATTTTTGCAGAGCTTCAACATCAGAAGACATCATCAACGGCGGGAGCAATTTGATTTTGTCAAATACTGTAAGTTACCCTAACTCAGAATTTTACATTTTTCGCACTGAATTTTGGTTTGTGAATGAATTATTGGATCCATTTTTTATTTTTTTACTAATTTGGTGAAATGTGTAGTGGAAAAAGTCTGTTTTTTTTTTTTTACTGCATTGTGCTTGATTTATGTAGTTGATGTGTTTTTGTTGCTATATTGTTTAATTGTACTATCATGCGTGCTGATTATGGAATAAATTTTGTTAATTTGGTTGTAATTCCATGTATTTTTGCGAAATTGAGTTAGGTGATGGATAATGATAAGTTTACTATTAAACTTAATCATGGAGGGATATTAACTCCTGATTGGCAGTACATTGGGGGAGAAGTGCACTATTGGGATAATGTTGATCCCGATTATGTGATTTACTTTGAATTTTTAGCCATGTTGAAGGAGGAAGGGGTAAAATACAATACTGCATGTGGTATGTATTATCTTTTGCTTGGTTTGGATTTGGAAAAAGGTCTAGTAAGAGTGTGGAAGGATAGTGAAGTGTTAGATTTTGTTAAAGTGGGTCTTGAGAATGGGATGGTTGAATTGTATGTGATTCATGGGGTGGAAGAACCAGAAGAAGTCACCTTTCTTAAAGGCCCTAGTAAAGCAAAACCAAGTGTGCCAATTGTGGCAAGCAGTCAAACAAATACACAAATGCCTATCCCAAAATCCACTGAAAGGAAGAAACTTTCACTAAGAAAACCAATTAGGACTATCCCTAGAAAACAAAAAATCCCAGTAGTCCCAAACCCTTTCTCACAATCTACTAACACTGAATTTAGGAAAAAAACCACCACTTAAGAGCACCAATTAGGACTAGCCCCAGAAAACAAAAAACTCCAATTATACCCAAACCTTTCTCATAGTCTGCCAACCCACCATGTAGGATTAAGAAAACAACATTAAACAACAAATCAAGTAACCTATACCAGAAAGGGCTTGAAAAAATTAGGTCTAGACTTGAATATCTAAGTACACCTAATGATGTTGGTGACATTGTTCTTGATTTTGGTGGAAATGGAGAGAATGCTTATGAGTTGGGAATTGATGGAGTTGGAGATAATTTAGATGATTTGAGAGATGATGGTCAGTTATGTGAGTACATACATGTAGAGGATTGGTATGACACTGAAGGTGAGGGTTATAACTCTGAAAGTGATCATGATTTTGCAATTAACGATGAGGCTGGTGGTGATGTTGAGTATAAGGACTGTGATTAGGTTGTTAGTGAGGGTGAAATTGACCTAAGTCCACTGAATCTCTGGAGGACAATGATGACGGATGTGATGATGATTACCAACAGGAGTAGAGTAATTCTAGTGATGAGAAACATGTGCAGTCAGTTATCAATTTGAAAAAGAGCAAGAAAATTCCAAGTAACACTTAAGAAGCTGGGATTTCTAGGGAAAAAGAGTTGTTAAGCATACCATTACCAAGTGGATGGGAGAGTGAGTATGAGGATGAAGATGAAGATTTAATCCCTAACTTAGATGTTGAAGATAGTGAAAGTGAACTACAAGAACTAACAACCAATGTAGTCAAAGTAGTACGTGGATAAGAACACTGATTCTAAGAAGCTTGTATGGAATGTGGGAATTAAATTCCACTCTCCTGAACAGTTTAGAGATATGGTGAACAGGTATGCAGTGTATGCAGGGTATAGCATCAGGTGGTACAATGTTGAGAAAAATAAGAAAATGGAAGCTAGGTGCAAGTGTGGGTGTAAGTGAAAGTTGTATGTATATTAGGATGGTGATCATAAGTCCTTTGTTGTGAAATCATTTAATCCAGAGCACACATGCAACAGGGCTGATTATGAGAATTTGCAAGCTAAGGCTGGTTGGTTTGCTAAGAAGTATTTGTAGAAATTCAGAGACAATCCTAACTAGTCAAGGAAAAAGTTGGAAAAAGATGTGATGGAAAGGTTTGGGGTTAGACTCTCAAAGTGGAATTGCTACATAGTTAAATCTCTTCCTCATAAGATACTTCATGGTAACTTGTTTGATCATTACTCTCAGCTGGCCACTTATCTGTTTGAGTTGAAAAAGAGTGATGATGGTATGAGGTTGCAATTGCAGACAACTGAAAGAGAAAAGGATGGTGATCATGTTTTTAAAAGATTGTACATCAGCTTTCCAGCTCTACGGGAAGGGTACATGTCTAGTTACGGGAAGGTGTTATGCATTGACGGTTGCTTTCTCAAAACTTTCTTTGGGGGGGGGGGGGCAATTGCTAACTGCAATTGGTCGTGATGGAAACAACCAAATGTTTCCAGTTGCTTGGACTGTGGTAGAGACTGAAAATAATGACTCATTGTCTTGGTTCTTAGAAAAACTAAAACATGATATGCCTGACTTTGGTGGAGAAGATAGCAAAGTTATTTCTGATCAACATAAGGTAATGTAAAACTTTAATTTCCTTACATATTACCCTAACAACTTGTGTAACTATGCTAAACAAAATTCTTGGCAGCAGTGAAGCTTTGGTTTCCACTTGTGGAACGCAGACTATGTGCAAGGCACATATACCCACCATGGCAGAAGAAACATGGAGGTGATGAGTTGAAGAAGCTGTTCTAGAGGGCAGTGTATGCATACAACAAGGCAGGCCATGAAAAGGCTCTTGAAGAAATGAAAACAATCCGTGTAGAAGACTTCATCAAACAAAACCCTCAAACTTTTTGCAGATATGGATTCTGAATAGCCACTAAGTGCAACCTAGTGGTAAATAACCTAGTAGAGACCTTCAATGGGTGGATACTAGAAGCTAGATCTAAACCAATAATACACATGCTTGAAGACATAAGAAGGGCTTATATGGAGAGGTTATTCATGAAGAAAACTCTAATGGAGAGAGCTAAAGACATAATCTATCCAAGAATAAGGAAAAGACTTGAAAAAAAACAAATTAAGAGTATGCCATGTGTTGCGCTGCATTGGCATCTGGAAGAATAGAGTGTGAAGTTCTTCATGACATGGAAGTTTTAGTCTACTACAAAAAGCGCGTTTTCTGGACGCTTTTTAGGCCTTTTTTCGACGCTAAAAAGCGTCGAAAAATTATTTCTCGACGCTGCAAAAAAGCGTCGAAAATCCGTGAGTCGAAAATTGTTCAAGGACACCAAAAAGCGTCGAGATTCTCGACGCCTTTTAGTATCCAAACTAATATACGAAGCGTCGAAAATTACGTATTTCGCGCAATATCCCAAATGTGTAGTTTTTTAGCGACGCTTTTTCCTGTCCACATAATCAAATTTAGCGACGCTTTTTGTTGTCTTGCGTTTATTCGTGTCAGCCTATGGTATGGCGGGAAACTCTTTGAAATTTGAAAATGTGCAAATATGTAGACTAAAAAGCGTCTAGAATTTTTTGTTAAGCTTTTTTTTTTTCCTTTTATTAAATTATTATCATCATACATACATTATAGTTATTTAAATTTATCATAAATTATATTAATTAATAACATAAAAATAATAATAAACAAATATTCTATATAACTAGATTAAAAGAAAATTAATTAACAATAATAAGAGTACGTAGTACTTAATTACCAAATTTATAAAAGAAAACATCACTAAAATAAATAATTACATCACTAATATAAGACTAAAAACCAAAATAGATAATAAGTAGTACTTTAGTTGTCCCTAAATAATTACATCACTAATATAAGACTAAAAACCAAAATAGATAGATGATGGCCTTATAGACGATATAGTCGCTTGTTGATGCTCAAGTGTCCTGGCCTATTCTCTTGTTGCACCTACATTGCCTTTTCCAATCTTAAAAAAAAAAAAAAAAAAAAATACAAAGTATAAATTAGTACATTACACAATATAGTACATTACACTCTAAGCTTGGTAATTTGGGGAAACTATTATTTTAAAAGGGTTATTAAGTAACCAAAAGCACTTAGTAACAGCCCCCTACGCAACATGATCCATTCTTATGCACAAATACATAAATAAATCAGAGCTACTATATACAAATCTTGATCGTTATCTTCTCTCATTGATTGAATTTTGTATAAGTTAACCGGCCATGGTAAAGTGAGATGTACAACCCCATCAAAATTCAAATAAAAAGTGCTTGGGAATTTCCCTGTTTTTCCTTCACCCTTGTGCAACACACCAACCCACCAAGCCACCCATCCAGCAACATACAGCAGAAGAGGACAGCCACAGCCACAGAGGGGCACTCACCACTCACCAAGCAACCAACAACAGTCACAAGCAAGGGCAGGGGACAACTAAAGTACTTTTCAGCAAATTCCTTGGCAGCTTATGGCAAGAAGACAAAAGTGGTTATGGTAGTAATTAAATCTAAGTCACATGTAGTAACTTGTAAGGAGTTAAATAGAAAGTTTGTAGGGGAGAAAGAATTCATTCAGAAAAGTTTGTGCTAGCTTAGTAGTTGTAGTTGTAATTTTCTCTCAAAGCCTTTGGGCTATTTCAATACAATCAACTGTCTTCTGCCTATTTCTCTTCTCTTTTGCTTGAATATTGTTGAGTTAGTGCGCTGTCCGTTGCACCTTGACTTATGATTAGTTCTCTTCACCTTATTTCGTAGTGAGTCTATGTATAATTCTTGATCATTATTTTCTCTCATTGTTTAATTTCATACAAAGTACTTTATATAACTTAATGCATATACTTAGTAAAAAAGAAAATTAATACATATACTTCCATGAAGATATTTTGAAAATTTTAAGTCATTATAATTGCATTGTATGTGTGTATTCCCAAATTATATCAAGTCTTCAACAGACAACATAATATAAACACAACAAAGCTATCATACAAAGAAAAGAATTATATTTTGTAAAGTGCTCTTGGCTGTACCAATTGTAACCGTTATTATACACATGTTCCTTTTCTTATGTCTGACCAGAAACCTTTTGAGACTGCAAAAGCCTTTGGTTTATCAAGATGTAGATGGGGTATCAGATAAGAAAAAAATTTGTTTCAAAAGGGGAGTAGACGATGTATCTGAAACTGGATGAGACACTCAACAATTATAACGAAGAAATAACCAGAGCAACCACCATTACACATATGAATAACTTGATCACAATCAGTTCATACTTCATATAGATATATGTACATCAGCTTTGTTTGAATTCATCTCACTTTCATTTTACTTATCTTATTTATTCATCCATCTTTTATGAGAAATTTTGTATTTTTTTTTTTTTGTAAAAATTAGAGCAAGTAAAATCATCAGACCTCAACAATCACATAACAAATTCAAAATGGGGGAGGTAACAACTCTAACAACAAAGACATTTTTATCCCCAAACTTCAGCCATAATAAAGCTGAAAGTCAAATTGATGATAGCTTAAAGCAAACTAACAAAAGCAAACAGCAACAACACTTAAGAATAACAAACATCAATGCATCATAGTTGAAATAACAAGAAATAAATTTGATCAAAAAGACAAAATCTGATGACACACACACACACACAAGCTCTGAAATATAATCACACACACACAAGTTCTGATGTTCAGAGCTGCAATTCAGAACTGAATTCCAGAACTGATTTCTGAAGATCAGCTCTGAATTCTGAAGATCAGCTCTGAATTCTGATGTTCAGAACTGAATTCCAGAACTGAATTCTGAAGAGCTGCAATTCAGAACTGAATTCTGAAGATCAGCTCTGCATTCAGTTCTGAGTTCAGTTCTTGAATTCAGCTCTGGATTCATTTCTGAATTCAGTTCTGAAATTCAGATCTGAATTCAGTTCTGGATTTCAGTTCTGGATTTCAGTTCTGAAATTGTTGAGGGCTTTCCTCCAAAAAGTGGCTCTAAATGTTACTTAATTTAATCTTTACAGCAAGCAGCGGGGGAGCTTTACAGCAAGTAGCAGGGGAGCAGGGCAGACATGCAGTATAAAAGCAGCAGGGAAGCAGGACAAGCAGTAGCAGGGGAGCAGGGCACACACACACACACACACACACACACACACACCACAAGCAAGCATTCACACAAGCTCTGACTTTCACACACATAAAGAGAAATGTGACTTTGTTACCTGATGTTTTGCCTTTCCTAAGAATTCAGATGCTTTGTTTAGAAGACCCGGAGATGCATTCCCTTGACGAACTGCACCTACAATCTGAGAAAATTGTCCAACAAGCGCTTTAAGAAGAAGATTGTTGTGTCCGACCTCGTCTTTCAGCTTTTCATTTTCTTGAGATAGTGTATCATTTTTTTTGTGTAAAGCATTCACTTCTTCTTTAACACTATCCATCACAATAGTCCTCTTTTGAACTTTTCCATAGCCTTCCTTCCTTAACACACCACGTACTCCATAAATGTCCCCCTTTTTAACCCCTAGTCTGTAACCCACCGAACAATCGGGAATCTCATTGCCATACATAGTTTGCTGAAATGCTTCATCTTCGAGCTCTTGTTCAGACATCTTAGGGTGCACCATCCTCAACTCTTCAACCTTAGCTTTAATATCATCCTATACCAACATTTAGGAGTAATGTAAGACCACAAATAACACAAAATCACACCACAAAATCTACACAAAATGATTCCAGAAATCTGTCACAAAACCATACCACAAAATCTTGAGTGACTGTGTCAGGAAGAAATTTTCCGTCTTTACCCGCATGGGTTTTAATCCACAGCGCTAACAAGCTCTTTTTTTGTCCATGTTCATCTTCCTATAAATAATAAGGCAAAACAAGCATTAAATATGTGTACAATAGTATATAACGCATATAACTTGGCTTTGCTCTTACTAATATCCTAAGTAAATATAAAATGACATATATATTCCATACATAATCAGCTTGTTGGTTTGCAAAACTTTTAGAGCCAGATGTATGAATCTGATTTTGACAAGCTCGTGCCTTTTTACCGTATGCTAACATAGTCTGCAATCACATTTTCAGATTTTTTAGTTAGAGATTAAATAACGTTTAGTAGAGTAAACAATAAGGTAAATATTGTCCTTACTTTCCCGTTTAGTAGATTAAATAATGTTAGAGATTAAATAAAATGACATATAACGGGAAATGCGTCAATTAGAAGTTCAAGTAATTTACTAAATGACTCTGCAGACCAATGGAACATACACTTTAGGTGAATCAAATGCAATAGAAATGAAAGTTTCGAAAAAGTAGTACACCCCTCGTATAGGCCTTTTTCAGAAGCTTCCATGAGATTTTTATACTTTGCCTGTTCTTCATTTGAGAAAGTTGATTGATACTCATCATCTACCTCGCGATAAATGGTAAACCCCTCATCCATGTCATATGAATTGTCATCCTCAATACTTTGTTCATTAAATGATGGATCTTGAGTTTTGTCGGTTTGTTGTGTATTAAATCTAAAAGCTGCTCTTAGTAACCCGTCCATATCATCTCGACCTACTGCATTCACTTGATCATAACTTAGATCATAGGTCTTACTCCCTTCATCTTTACGATGAAATATCCAATTTCTATAGTTTTTATAAAAACCATAAAATAAAATATGCCCTCCAACTTCTTCTACAGAATTCGTTTTATTTAACTTGCACTTATTACATGGGCATTTAATTTCCCATGTATTTGGTAAAAGAGTCTCTTTAGCAAGTTCCAAGAATTTCATGCAACCTTTAAAATAACCAGGATCACCTCTTGGTAAATCAATCCAACTACTATCCATGTCTACAAAGAAGTATATAGTTAATTGCCAAACAAAAACAATGACAATAAGTAATTCAAGTCTACAAACTTGTTGTGGGTGAAAGAAGAAAATTAGAAAGAAACATGCAACAACAAAAAAAAGCTTACAAATAGAGTATACAACACTATATTCATAACCACCGGCTTTAATAGAATATACAACAGTAAACCCTTGATATACATAGATTTTAAATAGAAAACAGGCACCAAGGCACCAATACAGTAGCAGGTCATGAGTATTGGGCAAGGGAATGAGTGAGAGCTCATAGGAAGACAAAATGCAACAATTCTGAAATTCCTTAATACAATTGTCCACGGCCTTACATGTAGTGTCGTAGATAGTGAACAAAAAAAGGTAAGTCGAGGCATCAAGCTATTCAAATCCAACTAACTCACACACATCCATTTTGGTAATCTATCTTTGCTAGACAACAATAGGAGTCTACTAGGACTGCATATATAGACTAAATATAAAATGTATAAAATTGAGACTTTCAGGATGATGTACAACTGCATTTTCACTGTCAATTACCCAACCATAACAAAATCAGACAAGATTATGAATATATCGATGTTTGATGCAATGAAAATCGTACCTTAATAAACTTTGGCTTGTCTAAAACCACAAGCGAAATGTAACTCTCAACCAGAAATCTACAGCTGCAACAATATCAAAGGAAATATCTGTTTATAAAGAAAAAATTTAGCCTCATGCTTCCCTCCAAACATCATAGAGTTGTTTAAACATAATGCAAATCATTTATGACAAGTTAATTAACAGTGTTCCACCTTAGAAGTAAGCTTTCTGCACATAAATTTCTGTCAATTATGTAAATTCATACATTGCTTACTTTTACCTCTAAGAGGCAATTGTCATCACTGAGCAATTGTCAATATTTCAGATTCTTGATCCAAAACAAGAGCTAAAAAAATATAGGCAATGAAAGAGAACTAGGCTAGGGGAGGCAGTAGTGATCAGATTGTAGCCAACATTAGTGTTTCAGATTGGTATCCTTATCAACGGGTCTACTTTTTGGAATTATTTTTACCCCCCTAAAACAATTTACCACAGATAAAGTAACATTATTTTCTTATACCTGATATAAATATAGATATTAGATTCCTATAAAGTACAATCAAATTTTCAATAAGACCTTTTCAGCTTCCAAACTACCAAACTACAAGAATGTCTTGGTGGAGGTAGCCTTTATCTTCCACATTTTCATGGACTCGTGAGGTAAAAGACTATGAGAGACAGAGATATGAGCACATGGAAAAGTATACAGAAAAAACAATCAAAATTAGATGAGCAATATAGGAAGAGCATAGTGGCATTATCAAAATTAGAATAATACAATGATCTAAACTAAACAAAAAACTTCCAGCTTTGTGCAAGGGATAACATTTAATCAGCAATTATCAATTTCAACTATACCCAAAGTTCCCAAACCTAGGATCATGTCCCGTTCACACTGCTTCCTTGGCTCTATACATATCATAATAACGAACAAACAAACTTATACATTCTTAACAATAAGACTTGATTCATCAGCAGCAGGCCGTGAGTATTGGGGTTGTTGTCTAATGATTTATAAGGGAATGAGTATTGCTTCTAAGAGTAGAGCATGCGAAGACAGAATGCAATCATCAGCCACAAAATCACCATAGAAAAACAAGAAAACTCATATCAAAAACCCATAAAATTCATATCAAAAACCCATAAAATTCAAAGCCTACAAAATTCATATCAAAAACCAGAAAATTCAAAGCCTATAATATTCATATAAAAAACCCATAACATTCCAAACTAAAACCCTAAAACGCCATAAAAATCATAACAAAAACCAAAAAACAATTTGAAAAAAAAAAACATGAAAACTTGGATTTAAAAACAGAATTCACGAAAAAAAACAACATAAAAAGAAATTAATTTATCTAATTAAGGGCAAAAAATTACCTCGCAATAAGAGATTGATTCTTGTTCTTCACCAACGCAAAATCGAAGACATGCAAACAAATAATTCCCAATTTTAACGAAAATTTAGAGAATTGTGATATATTAGGTGCCAAAAACGATAGAGATATATACCTAGCAACAATATTGTTCAGCAAATTGTAAATTAATACCTCAACTTTATGAAAGTGACGAGCCACAAAACCCCAAATTCCTTGAAATTTAGCAAGCAAAACCCAGAAATTAACCTAAAATTTGTGATTTTTTTTGTCGCTGATGAAAGTGGTGATGGATTCCAAGTTTAGAGGAGAGCAGAATAGATGGGCAGTTTCATTGGGAACCTAATTCGACTGAGTGTGAAAATACACAAACCCGCTAATTATTTCATTAAAAAAAATTCAAAAGTGTCGAGAAAAATTTCCGACGAAAAAAGCGTCGCGAAAAGACGGAACCAAAAATTATACACTGACGCCACTTCAATAGCGTCGAACCAATTGCGTCCAAAAATCACTCTTTTTGTAGTAGTGGTGGTTAATTTAGATTTAAAGACATGCACTTACATGCAGACGGTGGGACCTACATGGTTTCCCTTGTTGTTATGCCATTGCAGCATGTAGCTGGCTAAGAGTACCATGTGAGGATTATGTAGATGCAAGGCTTACTAAGGCAAAGTATCTGGAAGCATATAGTGGTTCAATTAAACCACTAAGGGGAGAGAATCACTGGGAACATGTAATTTTCCCATTGCACCCACGTGAGATAAAAATAGGAGCAGGAAGACTAAGAAAGGCTAGGAAAAAAGCTCCCCATGAAAGACAAGAAAAGCCATGAAAATTAAGCAGGCATGGTTTGAAAATGAGTTGTAGTGTCTGCAAGTTAAAGATGCATACCAAAAGAAAATGTCCTCTCAAACCAAGTGATAGTACACCAACAAACCAATTGCAGGTAATCTTCAACCTTATCTATGACTATCTATAACTATTGAGAGCTACTACTTACTACTAACAACTAATCTCTTTCTTCAGGTAAGCAAAAGAGGAAGAAAATAAAAACCAATCTGCATTTGCAACTGCTGCAGCTCCTACCAAGAAAGCAACAAGAACACCGGCCGGGAACAAATCTGTTGTACATACATGTACCACAAGATCTGCATTTGCAAGACAAAAAGTAGCTTCAGAACCACATAGAGGGAGGGGCAAACCAAGAAAAGGAACTAACTCCATTCTAACAGACTGTGGAGAAGTGGGAACACAAGCTTCAACAGCAGCTCAGCAACCTTGAAACTTCAGCCATGGCAGATTTAATGCTTGGAGTTGGTATTTTGAATGTACATTTTTTGGGATACTGGGCTAGTCAAAGTTCGGATCTAAAACAATTAGTTTTTGTCCTTGTAAAAGCATAAAAGTACACATGTTGGTTTTACCATTATTGGTCCTTATTTTATTATACTATCACACAATACAATAACAACAAATAAAATATGAAACAAAACCTGTTTTCATTTCGTTTCATGAATTAAAAAGAGTATATCTTGGTTTCCCACACAAATTTCGATCACAGTACTACATATTCAAATACTGTAATACATACTATTATACCTTTTCATATACTACTACCCACCCTACTTAATTCAACTACATCTTCACCAACCTACAGTCTTGCACAAAAAAAAAAAAAAAAAAAAAAAAAAAAAAAAAAAAACGAAGCTTATCCAACAAATGCAGATTGCTACAATATAGCCCCTTTCTCTTCCACTCATAGCCTTGAGTTGTTGCTTCAATGTCTTGTTCTCATCTTTAAGTGCTCTTAGTTTTACCCCATATTCATATGCTTGCTTTTGAGTGCGTGTGTTTTTCTCCAGATGCTCCAATTCAGCTTCCATCATCTTATTATCTACAACTAAACCATTAATTACTTCAATTGCGCGAGGTCCATAGTCTTCCTTATCAATCCACTCAAAAAACTTGTAATCATCAACCTGCATTTCCAAATGAATCTACTTCATTCCATTCCAAATCAAAAAAATTAACACTGACATTTCAAATTCCAATTGCCTTCCACTTTGAACACCCATAGAAACGCTTCCCTTGATTTTCATTGAACTTCCACGCAGTGCGAATTGCAGCAGGCAATCGATGTCCACAATACACCCTCACATTTGCACGAGAATTCGATTTCCTCCTAAACGAAGTGGTTGGCGTTGAGCTCATGCTTCAATAATTGGGGAATAATTTCAATTCGAAACTTTTTAGGGTTTTCAAATTAGGGAAGAACTAGAATATGAGAAGAGGGTTTTCAAATTGGGGAAGAATTTGGATGATAAGAAGAGGGTCAGGCAGGTTTCAAAAAAAAAAAAAAAAAAAAAAAAAAGAAAGAGGGTGTCATGTGAGGTTTAGTTTTAGGATTAAAGGGAGAAAAAAAAAATTAAGAGGGAGCAAATAATAAATTAAAATAATAGATTCCGTTCTCAGGCAACTTTTTTGGTCGAAAAATTTCATTAAAGACACGCACTACTCTTGCATTTGTACTTTGTGGTGTTTTAACTACTGTGTAAAGTTGAAGGTGCTCAGTGCACCTTCGCCAAACTTCAGAGTGTTGAGGCCAATTTTGCCTATTTTAAATATACATCTTTAACCATCAATATTCTAAAAAAATTCAACAGCAAATTGATTTCATTTTTTATAGTTAACTAAATAAGTACATTGAAAATTTTCGATAGCAAATTGGTACAGTATCATTTAAGAAAAAATATGGGGACAAATTGGTATGTCCCCTCCCTCGCTTGAGATCATCTAAGGGTACATTAAAAGAGTTGTGGAAATAGAATGATGTTGGATGATGAGAAAATGAAAATTTAACTCAAAAGCAGCACCATTATATCTAAATCCTGGAGGAAAGCTGAGAAGAAGAGCCAGAGTAGTCGAACATAGGCGTCAACAACTGATTCATGACAGCCAAAGACAGAAGTGGAACCGAGGATTCATAAACTGAGACATCGAATGTTGCAAAGGCTATTCAACTAAACAGTTCAGCACAAGATCACTTGAAACTGGTACACCTCAAAATATTGGGCATGACTTAATTCTGTAATGACTAATGAATCTCATCAAAGAACTAAAAAACTTATCCAACGATTGAACTCAGCCACGTCATAAGTTAAAGATTTATTTTTGGTAGTCTAAGAGCACAGTGTCCTTACGGAAATGCCAAGTGCTTGAGATAAACACCGAAAATCTCATGTGACAATGCATTATGCCATAAATGTAACGTGGTGAAGCAGTAACAAGATTCACAGCCAGACCAAGAATCTTGCTAAATGTTCTCAGAATCATAGGTGATCAAACATTCACACTTGATCCAAGATTCACAGGATTTATGAAATAATAACGTACTTTAGTTCATCTATGATGTCAAGTTCATATAGTGGGTTTGCGCTCAAAACCTGATCCAGGATCCTCATTTGAAGGATCAACATTAAGGGCAGTAACCATAGCATCAGGTGGTCCACGGCGACAACGCTGCACCATCTCATCCACGACTTCAGCCTTGCCCGAAAAAAGAGCTTCCACAGACCCATCTCTCCTATTTCTCACCCAACCCTTCAAACCCAATTGATTTGCATTCTCAATCGTCCAATTTCTGTAGAACACTCCTTGAACTCGGCCCTTGATCATACATCTTACCTGCCCAAAACAACAACAAAAAGCTTAAGTCTCAAAAAGAAATGGATTTCAGTTTATTCAGAAAATTTTAAGAAAAATAATTCGATCCACTTTTATAATTTCCAACCAGATGGCCTAAAACATTTCTAAATGCGCAAGATCACTTCAGAAATTGGGTAAATTTAATGAATTTATTAATAGTCCCACACATTCATGATTGAAAAATCAGTTAAGTATCAACATTCCTCATTACTTCGTATTACATATCAGACTACGTTCAGATAAGTGGAAATCAGGAAAACAAAGCATGCCATTTCAATCGATAACTAATGTTTCAGCTAACTTGCCTAGCTATCAAATGTTTGTAGTCAATTAATACACGTTCTTATAAAAATCATTATTCAACAAACATCAATCACTGGTAGGAAAGAAAATAATAACAATTAAATCACCAAAATTCTGAATAACATATCAAATTTACAACATTAAAAATCAATTATGTACCAAATCATCTCAATATAACCCACCATATAAAAGAAAAATATAATTGTTACAACATTAGAAATATACAGAAAAATCAAGAAAATAACACCAACAAAAATAAAAATTTTACTAAGAGCAATCAAATTAAACAACAAATTACCCTTAAACGAAAACTGGGAATTGAAACAACATTAGAAATCTACAGATAAACCCCAGAAAATTACACCAACAAAAATCAAAATTTTACAAATAGCAACCAAATTAAACAACAAATTACCCTTAAACAATAATTGGGAATTATATAAATATAAATAAGAAAGAAATTATAATAAAAATTCTTACTGTTTTGTTAGAATCCTGACTGATGGGTGCGCCATGTTCATCATTCTGAGACATCATCGAAAACCGAAGAGAAGATAAACAAGATCGGCGCAAAGGAAGTAAAGAAAGAGAAGGAAAACGAAGAGAATTGCAATTCGAGTAAAGAGGAAAATAACAATAAGAAATAGAAGAAACTGGAGAAGCAAAAATACTGGAGAATCTTCTATAATGTACATAGTTATTGACATTATTATTAGTTATATTTATACAATTGGGATTTCGGAATATTGAGCTGGAAATTCGGGTCCATGAATATGATGATGGGGAGATAATTGTGTGTTTATTATTAAGTTGGGAATTTAGAATTTGATTCAGATTCTGTGACTGTGGCTGTGGTAGTGCTAAAGTGAAAGATTTAGCCATAGATTTGTTAGCTAAATTTTACGAACACGATGATGATTGGTGAGTTGAGTAGGTTTGGTACTGTTGATTTTGACTATGGAGAGTCTACAGCTCTTGAAGAGTCAAGAAGGATTGTGATTAAACAATAAATAAATAAAAAATAAATTTACTACTACCTCCAATATTATTTGCAACGATTTGACATAAAATAAAGAGGAAAAATGTCTAATCGTTGCAAATAATATGTAACGGAGGTAGTATATATTACTTTCTATACTTGAAATTTTTAATTTAGATGCATTATTTTTCTTTTTGGTTAATCAAAAGTGTAAAAAGATTAAGCTTAAATTGGCTCGAAATGTTAATGAGCCGAGTCGAATATTTCAATACTCTACACAAAAATTGGTGAGAAAGTCATTCTTTTATACATTATTATATTTAATCAAATTAAAAATATTTTGATTCAATAACTTTATTTTGCAATAATAATTAATAAATATATATCATTTACGTACTCATATCATCACATGTATACTTCTTATGATACAAAATTAAAGAGAAAAAATAAATTTTACGCTATTTAGAAGGGCCTGTTCACATTTACTTTATTTCAGTTCAGTTCAGTTCAGTTTAGCTCAGTTCAGTTCCAATTAGTTCAATTCAGTTCAGCTCCTAATTTTCCTCTTTCATAAAATATTCATTTCAGCTCAGTTCATTTCAATTCACTTCAGTTCAGTTCAGTTCAGCTCAGCTCCAATCAATTTAGTTCAGTTCAGTTCATCTCTAATTGGTTCAGTTCAATTCAGTTCAATTCAACTCATTTTAGTAAATGTGAACAAGCCCTAAGACCAAATCAATTAACAAGCTACTCGAGATCGATTCGGTCAAATCTCGACTCGGTCAAAGCTCGGTCAGAACTCGACTCGATATGCTAACGAATGAAGTCGAGATACCCCAAACTCGAACTCGACTCGCATCATACGCACCCTTAGTCATGACGATTATTTTCATCTGATTTTTTTATTGTAATCGAGAAATTGGTAAATGAAGTTTCAATCCCGTATAATTTTTTACAATGAAATAGTTTCACGACAATCCATCAAGTAAATAAAGCAAACTTGCTTTAAAAGAGGAGAAGAAAAACTTTGTCTTTTGAAAAAAAAATTAGATTCCCTTAAAGAAGGAGAAAAACGCAGTGTCTTGGGGGGTGAAAGTTCCTCCTAAAGAGGAAGAGTTATTATGAACCAAAAAACAAACAAAAGTAACAAATCAAAAATCAAGTAAGAAAACCCTAAAATTTTCTCCGTTTTCTCTTTAAACCTAGCCACAATAGTTAAACTTAGGGGCTGCCATTGTTTTTTTTTTTTTTTTTTTTTTATTATTGATGGTAAGCTTCAAATTCTTCTTTAATATAATGTTTTTAGCAAATAAAGATCACCAATTGTATGGTGATTATAGTCAATCCCTCCATGTAGGTTTGGACGGTCCCTCCATGTAGGGTTTAGTATTGTTTGTTTTTAGTGTGTGCAGGTTTACAAATTTGGAAGATTCTTCTTGCAAATTTGTGGAATTGCGGGTCTGTTGGTATAGGGGTGCAGATTTCGAACATTTGTCTTGCAAATTGGCAGTTTTTGATGTCCAATCAAGTTTTATCACTTTTGCGACTATAAATCAATGGAGCTCCGTCAAGAACGATGCAAAGACATCTAAATTATCCAGAATCAGTTCAAAAGCGATGCCATTAGTTTAGTGGTGTTTATTTCTTGTATTGAGAATTTAGATCTCAAAAAGGATGATTGTAACTGCCGAATGATTATTATTATTTAAAGAAATCACCCCTCCCTATTCCAAAAAAAAAAAAAAAAAAGAGTAGTGCAGAGAAAAACATAAAAGAAACAAATATTGGGGCTTTTCGCCGGTAAAAACTAATGGATAACCCTCCTAAAATTCAATATGGAAGCCTATGGTTTTAAAGAGAGGATAGATACCTTGCTAGATAGTACATACAATCTGTAGTACCTTGTAAATTTCCTTTTTTTTTAAAAAAAAAATATACTTTCTACTCTAAATAAAACCCTTTTTAGGAAATATCCAAAATATTACCACCACTATGCTAAATGCTAAGGCTAATTTTCAAAGTCAAACATTAGAAGACTAAAATAAAAACTAACTTTTAAGAAATAAAACTTGAGTTCACAACCTCAAAAAAAGAGTAAAATTAAATTGTTCACAAGTTGGAGCCAATCCAAATATGACCCTTTTTAAAATCCAACTTATAAATCAATAAACATAATATTGTTAGTCCATAAACCATAATACAATAACTCATAATATAAAACTAAGAAAGCATTGCAAGTAACTATGTACACTTCTTCCCTTCATGCTTCAAGCACTGATAGGATAAAGTCGTATCTCCTAATTAAAAGAATTGTCCAGGTCCTGTAGCTAAAGTAGATAGGGAAGTAGGGTCGACTCCACAGAGAAACAAGTCTTTCTATTCCTAATTAATTAATATAATCTAATTATTAAGCAACCAAATTATTTTTAGAGGGATTAAACTAAAGAGAATAAATAAACTAAAGCGATTAAAAATTATGTGATTAAAAATAGAACAAAGCCTAGGGTATAGGTTCATCAATAAATAATATTCTAGGGTAAAACATAATAATCTATCATCAATGCATCAATTAATCAGATCATAAAGGACTTTTTCTATGTATTATAACCACAGAATAAATCTACAGATATTAAATTGCATCTCTTGAATCTTGGCTTAACCATGTATACATTAAACTGCCTATTAAAACTAAGCCTAAACATCAATCCTCATCTCTCGGATCTCGAATCAATATTGCAAAAATCATACAATTAAACCAGACCTAATCTAATTGCATATCATTAAATCAATCAATAGGAAATCAATCAAAGCATTCAAAATTAACAATAATAATTCACCCCTTCATATTATTATGGATCTCCACAACCCTAGAAATAGATCTACTAACACATATTAAAATTTAAACTAAGCAAAGCAAATAAACAAGACATGATTAATCAAAGCAATTATACTGAAAATAAAAAGAGAAGAAATTATTACCAAAGTAAATGAAAGTAATGAATAGCATAAACCAAAAGTGTAGCGAGAGAGAACAAGAGTAATAATCCAAAAGCTTAAAACTAAATGTGAGAAATTAACTAATTAGAGGAGGTAATCATATATAGCTTAACAAAATGTATTTATACTTAATCTAAAAATCCTAATTAAAAACAAAGTAAAAATGGTCGAAATCCTCTTCGAAAACATGCGCCTGTTCGGGCGGAGATTCGCCAAGCCAGGCTCACATTTTTAGTGAGTAAAGCTTGCTCGCGCCCGGTCGGGAGTGCATCAGGATAATAGGCTACCTTTCTTCCTTCTACCTCGCCCGGCCGGGCACGCCTTAGGGCGAGGCCACTACTCTATCCTTCCTTCCTTCCTCACCAGGCTAGGCGCGCCTCAGGACGAGCCACTACCCGACGGTCAGGCGAAGGTCTGGGCAATTAGGATCTTCGATTTGGGCTACTTCTCTTGGCCCAAATCCGGGTTTCCACCTTCGCTCTTGAATACTTAGTCCATTGCCTTGGTCTCTTCTTTGTTGAGCCCTTAATCACCGATTTGATGACTTTAACCGGTCTTAGGCTACGGAAGATGGTCATATTTCTCTAATGCTCGTAGTGGTTCCAATAAGTCCGGGAAAATGCTTAAAATCTGCAATTTCTATAAAACAATACCAAATCTATAAAAACACTAGAAAAATATATTAGTAATAAAAGTGGCTCTAAAGAGCCAAAAAATACATCTAAATATGACCAAGGGACGGTGGTAAAATACTATATAAAATGAACATATCGAGTACCTGCCACTTTCCCTTTATTTCAACCCTCTACTCACCATATAAATAGGTCACAATAAGGCTAACCAAAGGAAAGCCAGCACAAACACAAAAGTACGGATCAACAAAAGATGAGTACATATGCACCACACTAATATGACACTAGTACAAAACTAACTATAAGTAACACTCAAAAAATGTTACATAAAGTGGTAAATGTGTTATTATAAACAATAGATAACACTTTAATGGGTGATACTTCCGCCCATGTTACCTAAGGTTTTATGTAATACTTTGGGTAACGTATGGTAACACTTTCAAAAGTGATATAATAAACCCTCTTATGTAACACTTTTTTATATTATTAGTATCATTTTTAAAGTGTTACTTTTTATTTCTTATGTAACACTTACTTATCTTTAGTAACATTTTTCAATCATATTGTAGCACTTCATAAGACATTATGTATCACTTTTGTGAACTATTGTGACACTTTATGTATTAATAGGTAACATTTTTCAATCATCTTTTGATATATAGTATCACTATATTCGACCTTATGTATCACTTTTTACAAATCAATGTAGCACCTTGTTAATTAATAGGTAACATATTACAATATTCGACTTATTTTCAAGAATATAAAAATAATATTAACATAACAACTATGAATGTGAAATTAACATATACAAAAGAAAATAATTTGAATTAATAAAATTTCATATTTTGTTACAAAAATTCATTAAAATCTAATTATCCAAAAAGAAAAGGTCAACTTCAGCCTGTAGACCACAAAATTCCAAAAAAAAAAGAAAAAAAAAATTGCAGTGAGCATAGTTCTAAAGAGACAGCAATCGAAAGCTACATTTATGCAAAACGTATTTCTTATGGCATCGTTACTTGCTACTCCAATCCTTCATCTTGATCCATTTGATCCTATATATGTGTGAAAGCATCATATATCAGACACCCTGAAATAAAGTATTCATGAAAATCATTAAAAGTATTCATGATTTTTATTGAACCATAATCTGAGTCACAATATGGCAAGAATCATAGTATCATATTGTTACTGCAAAGTCAAACAAACGAAGAATCATCCGAATAATCTGTCCAATTCCATCACATTAAATAACTCAATATGTGTAGAAGTAAAAACTAATGAAATTGACATCTTTAAAGGACAATACTAAAGTCACAGAGCCAATGGAACCAGCGAGCTAGGGTTAATAACAATTTAAATTTCACGT